TATGAAAAAAGAAAAAGAGATTAAATATCATTTTTGGCATCTGAAACTTTTAATTTTGAATATTTTTAGTATCTAAATTATTTTTCATACTTTTTCATCCTTAAACTATGAAAATGTATTTTTTTTGTCTTTTTATTAATTAGTTCATTCATGCACATTTTTAGTTCTAGAGACAAAAAATGTGCATATTTAAATATATTGAACAGACTAACTGATGAAATGAGTAAAAATATACATTTTTTATAATTCAAGCACAAGTGTAAAAAATAGTTAAAAAATGGAAAATATTTAAACTTAAAGTTTAGGGACTAAAATGATATTTAACCTTTATAATAATTTAACGAAAAATGTATGCTCCAGAGTGGCGAGCATTAGATAAACGAACAGTCAACAAGTCAACGAACATTCAACAAATCAACGAACATTCAACGAAACTAATTATAAGAAGGGATTCTGTTCAGCATATCAAATGCATAGCAATTTCTTTGAATTTTTTTTTAAAAAATTCTTACCCCAAGCCTCTGTTCACGTAACCACTTATCCAAAATATTAAAATTAATATGTGAATTTCAGGACAAAAGTTGCATCTAATTTGAAATTAGTTGGGAAGTAGTTATTTTTTTGTATTTAACTCATAAATTTTTTTGTTATATATTTAATATGGAATTTTTCATTCAATATATCCAATCACATGCAAGTTTAATATAAATGTCTGGTTTTGTTATGTGATTTAATATATATATCCTTTACATATAGACCAATACAAACTTTAAATGCTATCAAGTGAGCAAACAATGAGCCTTTTAAGAATGGAGTTTATATTCTAATATTGTATGAAAATTGACCCTAAAACTAATTGATAATACCTAGAACAACTCATTTAACACACAAGTTTACCATATCTTCAATGCATGATATTTTCACTTGACACAAAACATGGAAGGGAGCCACCCGGTTGCAAGCAAAATCTCTCCTGAAACCATGGAAGGGTGAAAAGGATAATCTCAACCCTTCCTCTTGAGAATGGGTGGAGATGTCCCCTACCTTTTTGCTCCAAGGTTTTTGGTATTCCTCCTTGTTCCTAAAAGGTAACGCTAAAGCAAGTAATATCTTTATTTATGGCGCTCCTAAGCCTAGCAATACTTGGATTAAATCCTTAACCTTGAGCATTAATTCTGGATTAATGGTTTTTCAATTGATTTATTAATGTAATTACTAAAAAAATGTAGAAGTTAATAAAAAATTATAAAAATTGATATTAATTTTATTATTAATATTAAATGAGTGAATTTAATTAAATAATTGA